CACTCAAGTCATATTTGTCTACACACAAATATGGCTTTATATATCAGGTTATACAGTTGCTAGTTAAAATCGTGATGTTTACACGAGCCTGTGTCTGCAGTAGATTTCATAATCCCCTCCCACTGACTGACTGGTCATATTCCCATGTGAACCGAGATCACGCTCCTCATTGATTTTCCTCCAGTGAACACATCAATAATCTCCATGCAATCTCTCTTGACCTCTTGTTCATCTCTGTCTAATAATCCAATAAACATCTGTATCCCAGGAATTAATTTTTAACAGCTACTATACATTACTGTCTCGACCGCTTGTCTGAGTTGTAAACATTCCCCCTACACATCCCCCTGGTTGGACTGCACTTTACAGTTGCTGTTAATGTGACCTGACAAATCGTATAGACTTATGGAGATTGCATCCCTCTGTGTGTACGATGTTTGATTCATTAAAAAAGACCATGTGTGAATCTCAAATGTATTTGAATTTGAAAACATATTGAGAAGAATACAAAGGATTAGTGGAGAGAAGGGTTTTTTCATATGAGTAAAGGTACCACTATTGAATTTAAAGGGAAGCTCCTCCCATTTTATATATTAAAGGGTTAAATGTTAAGATGTGTTAAATTAGTGCTGGAGAATAGAAGATAGATAATGAACAAAGTGATGGCGCTAGAAAGAAGTAAAACAACCAGATCTCTTCAGCATTAGACATAAGTCGCTACCACCATAGCACACTGTAAATTGAACTGTTTGTTTTCCATTTGCACTGTGGGTAATATATGCCCCAGGTTTTTGAGAACCTTGAAGGTGAATAAAAAATGACTATATCTCTAGTTCTCTTTTGTGTCATTAAAAATAGGAAGAGAGCTGGATTGTATGTCAGGGCCATGGGGGCGCTCGGGTCAGCCGACCAACTCTTTGTGCTCTTTAAACAGGAGAGTCTGTCAAAGGCCAGACTGTCCCACTGGATCACAGGAGACATCCAGCAAGCAGACGTGGATGTGCACATTCTATCCATGGAGCTGCGACCAGTTGCACCCCTTTGCAGGTGTCACTGTGTTTACATACATGCATCCGTTCATAATCTACACCGCTTATCCTCTTAAGGGTCGCATAGGTGGTGGGGTACACCCTGGACAGGTCCCCAGCGTATCCACAGCCCTGTGATATTTACATTCATATTCCACATTACTGAGTATTGCTGTCACCCACTCAACCAGGTGAGCTAATGGGTGCCACAATATTGAACACAGGAGATGGTTTTAGGATTATGAAATTTGACATAAGCATATTTTGCTTTGTATTAAATAAAATGTGTATTTTATGCTTTGGTGCTCATCAGGTTTTTTAATTTATAAAGATGCAAGTTAAGTTGCTCAGATAAGGAGCAAACGTCCATCCTCATCATAACAAGATTCTCTTTCTACAAAACTGCAGAACCACACTAACAGATATACGAATGTTTAAATCTACGGTTGTGGTCAGACGCATCAGTCCCCCTCTTTTTTTGAGTTCAGACAGCTGCGTTGGCTCAAGAAATGCAGGGTTGCAAAGAGAAATGTGTATTTCTAGTGTTTACCTCTCTATCCTCTTTGTGAAAGATAAAATAGTTGCCAGTGTGATAACTTTTTATTCAAGTGGAACACTGTCTCAGTATTATAAACCATTCTGCTGTGTTTTGGGGTCTGATGAGCTTCTCAGACAAAACAATTCTTACACTCATCTTAATGGATCATATTCAATCTGAAAAGCCACTAATGGGAAGTCTGCCTCTGGATCATTTCTTCGTCGAAATAAGAAACCACTTGTTTGTTGGTTTCTGCTGAAGTCATAAAACTTGACTCCAAAACTGCAATGCAAGACAAATGTAGGAAAAACAAGGTACTCTGCTGGCATAATAACATAAAGGTGAATTTTATTTGAAAAACTAATGACTGGAAAAACTGCTGATGTGAAGTTTTCATCAGATACATATACTTTTTTTTTATGCCGGCGTACAAACGACCATTCACACTCACATTCACACCTACAGCCTCAGTGAAACAAATTCCAGTCTGCAGGTCTTTGGACTGTGGAGGCTGAAGTACCTGGAGAAAACTAACACAGATACTAACAGAACATGCAAACTCCACACAGCCGCCAGCACCACCATGCTGCCCTACTGTGCGTCCATTAGCTGGAAATAAAAACAATAATTATTAAGTAGGTGATTTATTTCCACTTGGTACATTTGTTCTGTGCTGCAGTTCTTTTGGAAGGCAAAGCGCTCAACTTAAATTAAGTGCAACAGGGAGAAAAACAACTTGTCCATGAACTGGATTAAAAGACTGATTCATAATAGAGGCCCTGAGCTGCTTAATCACTGCCACTGTCTCAAGTACAACAGGATCTCACACAATATGCCAGGTGGAAACAGTCACCATGTGACGTGTGCTGACAGCAGATGTCCACAGTTTGCTCTGTCTCCTCCGAGGCTTCACAGCTTGTGAATATAGGACACTATTTAGAATCCTTAACCATACTCATATACCATGAATGTTGCTTTTTATCATCTTACATGTGGAGGTTTCCATCACATGATCCATATATCGGACTCTGAAACAAACTGCTGATTGTTGTTCACAAGAAGTTCATGCACTCTCGATTACCCACGCCAGGCTTTCGGAAACATTATGTACGCAGCTACAGATGACTTGACATGTGGTGTCACAGGAGGAAGAATGAAAGTTTTTCTACTTATTTTCAAATCTTGTAATGAAGCTGCTCCCAAATCTGTAGCAGACACGATAGTCCAACATAACCCTGTGAGACCCCTAAACATGGAGAAGCAGCTTTTAGTCACTAAATGCACAGCGCTGCAAGCAACAGCCTGATCATCCAAGAACACCCCATCCATTCCACACTGAAGATGTATTTATCTATTTATTTTTTAAAAGGATGTACATCACTTATTCAATTTTTATTTTATTTTACATATTTTCCTCTATTTTATTTGCATTATTTATTTAGATTTTAGATTTCCCTACAGATTCTACCTTTTTATTTCATTTACCTGTTTTAATCTCTTTACCAATTCCATTCTACTCTTTTTATTCTCGTTTATTTAGCTTGAAAGCTGTGATTTCTTTTCTTTTTGCCTCTGTGTTGTCTTTTAATGCCTTTCAATGCTTGAATCTTCCTCTGTGTATGAAACGTGCTTTACAAGTAAAACTGCTTTACCTTGAAAAGGGGCCTTCAAGTTATTAAGAATACATGATGCACAATATAATAAAAAAAACTTTCTCTGTGCTTCATTTAAAACATTGATAATCTGATAAACCTATTCTCTCATTTTGAATTTGCATATACTTCAACAATTCCAGAAGTAATAAAGATATCATAACTGATGTCAACCACTTCATTACCCACAGCCATTAGACACAATGCTATCTCTATCAGCGTGCTCGATTAGTCCGAACCAAAAGCCTGAAACAATAAATAGGAAGTGATTCTGAAGATGGGAGTCACCTAGGAAATGTTTGGAAAGCTTCCATGTGTGGGTATGTGTCTCTCTGTTGGAGGTTATGCTCCTCTGCAAAGCTTGAGTGCTCCTCTCGTGAAAAAAAAACAATCACCTGCCACACAAAGAAGCTTCCTGAAACCAATGCAAATCTGCTGCAAAGAAAAACATGAAAGATATTTTCACAGTGGAATGAGCTGGCGGCGATCCAGTGAGCGGCAGAATACGCTCACCTTTGCAGAATCACCCATGTTTATCAGGATGGAAAAGTGAGCGTGGCAGGATTAATGTCAATTACCCAACTCTGACATCAGTTTTTCAACTCGACTGCTCTCATGTGCCGTCGCTTTTCAGGTAAGGCACTGTTTTCACACTAAACCCCCCCCCCCTTTACACAATCTTGTTTGAAGCTCTGCTGCCGTGACTCTCGGGTGTTACAAACGCAGCAGATATCACTTGCTATTCCACAGCAGCCTCTTGAACCGCTCGATCCAAGAGCATATGGTGAATGGAGGAATGAGAGGAGTGTGATTTTTCAGCAGAAAGAGGCACCTCATGAGTTTAGATGCTTGAGAGCAAATTGAGGGAATATGTCACTTATTCTCACATCTCCATCTTTACCTGTCAGCTCCTGAAGAGAGTAATTGACATTTTGTCTAAACCTGTAACAACAAAAAAAACATTAATCATGCTCAACCATCCTCTGAACGGGCTCTTCAGAGGAAAGTGCTGTTGTGGGCTTCTGAGGCACGATTGAAGTCTGCTGATCACATGAACGGTGATGGAAAAATACAAAAAAAAGAATTTGCATCAAAGATATAACACCACTGGGGACGGATGAAGCCTGGTGCATTTTGAAATATAGTCAGCCTCGGATTTCACGCCACTGGGCAGGATATGAAAAATTTAGCAGCTTAGATATATTGTTTGTTTTTGGAGCGTGTAACTTTCTGGAGATTAACTGATAGGATATGGGGTTTTGTACTCTGAAGGGAAGGAAAACCAACTATATAAATGTTTAATAAATGCAAAAGCATGTGTATGGTGGAATATTGTTTTGTGAAATGGATTCTGGATTAATATCTACATCCAAATAAAATAGAGTGCATGGCCCCAAAGGCACTTGAGGGTCATTTGTCTTCTCTGAGAGGATATTCAAAAACTCCCAACATGTCATATAAAGGACTCTCAGTCAGGACCACCATCACTTCAAACATATGTGGTGGGTGAAGAGGAAACCGCCCTTAAGTCAGCTGAAGTATCACAAGTTATTAAGAGGTGGTGTTTTAAATTAATAACATGTTGTTTCCTGATGTTTCCCCCTTCACTGTGTCACAGCATTTAACCGAGCAGCAGCAAACATTATAATTGACGCTTATTCATGAGGGAGCCACTTCCAAACCTGAGTCACCAAATCAATTAACCTGTCAACCTTAATGGGAGAAAAAACCGGCTGTGTGCTCATATTAATGATGTGAATGGAAGAAAATGAATGATCTTACTCTGGCTGTCGAATTTCCTGATGATGGTGTCCAGGAAGGTGTTCTGCGGAGCCACATGGCCCCTCCGGACCGGCATCTTCGCAGCGGTGGCCCCTGGACTCGGAGAGACTTTTTTTTATTTAATGTGATCACAACCGAGGCTGCGTCGCTCCGCACGGTGCTCCCCCCTCGCTGCGCTCTCTGCTCGGAGCCCTGACAGGTTTCAGTGGCAGTAATCCAAATTCAAAGTTCACCCCCAGGAAGTTCACACTCGGAGAGACTCAGGCTTCTTTGCTGGATCTCCAAAAGAAAGTGGGGATTTACGCGAGTTGTGGAGAGGAGGAAGCGCGCTGTACGCACGGAGCCGTTTCCCAGCCTCTAGTTTCCAGGTGAAGAGGAGCGATGGTATCTTCTCTCTATGCCCAGATGAAGGGCTATCGGTGGAGGTATGATTCTTTTCTGGTTTCACACTCGCTGGAACTCAGCAGACCTCTCATCCTTCGCTACCGTCCGCTCCTGCGAGCGTCGTTGGAGCCATAGTTTTGGCGCTGGAGCTGCGCGTTATTTATCCGCTTCTCATTCCACCTCCTCCCTGTGCGTCCGGAGCTGAGTGTGTGTAACTGTGGAGGAAGAAGAAGAAGAGTGAGGATGTAAAAAAGAAACAGCAGAGCGCAGACGTGCAGCCTGGTCCGTCCTTGCTCGGTGTTTTATTGAAGGTGTTCTCCGCGTCTCCTCTCCCTTCCCTCTCTGTGCGCTCTGCCGGATGACTTCAGCTCCACCGGCTTCTAGCTGCGCCTCTTTTAACCCTTTGCGCATCAGGAAGGAGAACTGCTCACATGCACTTTTTATTATCATGGATGAAGAAGTAGATGCGCCATAGAATTCTCCTCATCCCTTTAAAGGAGGAGGCTCCAGGAAACTATAGTCCCAAAATAATTGCCAATAATGTATTGGATTAAATTGATCTTCAGTGCAATCGGATGAAATTGGACTAAAATGGCCCGAGGTTGAGTCCAATTTCAGGTTCACACTGATGGTGCAGCTGGACTCAATCAATCAATCAATCAATCAATCAAATCACAATTGGTGAAACATTCTCTGCCCTTAACCTTCAACAAGAATGAGGAAGAACTATATACGAGAATAGAATTGAAAATACTTTCTTGTCTACCTCAGAGAGTTATAAGTGAGGGATCCCTCTCCCAGGACGCACAGAGGTGCCATGGCGCATCAACACAAATCACAATAGCCACGTGTCTAATGTGGAGAGGTGTTTGAATGTTTGAAAAAAGAAAATGTCTGACAGAGAAGAAGGGAGCGGCAGTGGTGCATGTGGTGTGAAAGTGGAACGTGCTTTGTGTTATCACCATCACACACCTCCTGGAAAGAGCTGTGGCCAAACGGCTGCTGACCTGAGCCTGACAGGTGTGAGGATACATTACCTGTACACACACACACACACACACACACACACACACACACACACACACACACACACACACACACACACTCCTCTATTGTACTCCACTCTGTAAAGAAAACCAATCCTCCAGCTTCACTAAAGAACATTTACCTGCCCCGAGGAGAAGCGGATGAGTCTCTCTCTATGAACCACCCATTAGTATCAGCATCTGTTCAGCCTCGTGTTCATAAACCAGTGGAACAGGCGCCGGAGATGCTGCTTTGTTGTGTGTCGGGGTTGGATGGGGATTCTCCACTCACAGGCTGCTGGAGCTACGTCACAGCGCCGGGGTTCCCCCCCCCCCTCCGTCACGCTGGGGATGGTGCTTTCACGTGCTGTGGGAAACGGTTGCGTGGGTTGAGGCGCACACGGATGATCGAGCAGCAGATATGTAGTTAGGTTAAAGTAAAACTTTTACAAACGGGGATTTATTCATTTATATCATTATGTATTTATTTTGTCTTTAAAATTGATTGAACAAAATGTTTTTCTTTATGCTGCTGGGATTCGAATAGTTTCAATTCTATTCAGTTTTATTTGTATAGCACAAAACCACGTCATACACCATCTCAAGGGAATTGATATAGTAATACTGAGACCTTAAAAAACCTAACATTAACTGGAAGAAACCTCTGATCAGATGATATTTACGAATGTAATGATGTTAATACAGATATCAGCACCAGTTCATATCAATAATAATAACATTGGTAAAATCTGACCTGTCGAATGTGACAGGTCAGATTTTACAATGATGAGTTTACGGAGCAAAGACCCTGGAATTACTGAAAGTATTTCATTATCAAACTCATATTAAACTTAGGATACATGCACGTTCATGCTCCTCATTTCAAATTGGATGATGTAGCCAGCATCGATATTATGTATGGTCAATTTATGGAACTGTCATAAATTAATAATTATATGTTAGAAGTTAAAAAATGTGCATGTTTCTTTTTTCTTTTCATTCAGGGAACCAAGCCACTAAATTAGCCAGGTTTTGTTATAGGTATTTGTTTCTAAAAGTTGTTATTTAGAAAGATGCTATGTGCATTTTGGCAGCGTTTCAGCAATTTGTTTCTAAAAGTTTTAGGAGATGTGTCCCAGATGCAGTTTTTGTGATTTTCCTTACACGGCCTTGCCCCTGCATGTCCAACAACCTCACGCTCTTTTCACAGTTAACAGGATTCTCATATCAAACTCAGGGATGCAAGAGGCCTTGTTAGCAAGTTTTGTTGTTTTCACTTCTGTCAGATCCAGACCTGAAGCCACACCGCTGCTCCGTGGCTGCATTCATCAAAGTGACCTGTACAGCAGCGTGGTTACATTCATTTTTCTCCCCAGCGTTGAGTGTTTTAATGATTGGTGAGGTATGTGATGAATTGCAGCCTTGCAGTTAGACCAGGCCTGAGGTACTATCCATCAGAATGTGACATTTTTGTATGAATTAAAAATGCATCAGTTCCTGCTCTTATTACAATCCAGTGGTATTTACTACAGCAGCTGAAAGCCATGAAGGAGCTCGCTGGTCAGCCGTCGCCTCTCAACTCCCTTATTTAGTCAGGAAAAGAGAGAGGGAGGAGGAGGAGGAGGAGAAGGAGAAGAAGACAATTTGTCATGGCTGAGACAGATGCCAGCCTGTCACACACTTTTAGTGTTTACTAGAACACATACACACTGCACACACATGGAGAAAGAGAGAAGGGCAATGTTAATGCTTAAGCAGTTATTTATGCTCCTTACTACACACAGTAATGAGTAAATGTCTGAATAAGGGAATCGAAAAAGCTCAAGGCGACACATCCATTAAAATCGACATGGTCTTATAATGCATAAACATTTCAGCAGCAAATGAAACTCCTGTCGTCAGAAATGTCACATTCCTTTTTCTGCTCCATGCGTTTACTAAGCAAAACGCAGGAGCAGTGACGGCAGCATGTTGTTCTGGGCTTGTGTGTGTGTGTGTGTGTGTGTGTGTGTGTGTGTGTGTGCTGGAAAACAAAAGGGTTCAGGCTCAATAAAGAGCATTAAATAAACCAGGCATATTTGATGCATAGGCTTTCATTTAAGACCTAATGAAATACTGTACTTTATAACATCATCTTTATGAATATTTGCAGATTTTTTTTGGAATGGAAATAAAGAACCGACTCTTGTGTAAGGACATAAGTTATGTCTTCAAAAGTACATATTCCCCAAATGTGTCTCACCTGCCATTGTATCAGAAAAACAAAAGACAGTTTGAGAAGTTGATCTTTTAGGAATAAAACACAAGAGTCACAATTTTCTGATGACAATACAGTTGTGTTGGGGGTCTCATGACTGGGTTAAACATATGGGACCTTGTTTTGTCTATTTTAATTGAAGTTGTGTGTTACAGGTGAAGGAACATTGTGCTGGTGATACTATGATAAAATGCAGTGACATACTGTTTAATAAAAGATATTTAGAGAAAGAGAGCGAGACTTATTCTCCATGTGTAGAAAATGTTTACTGACTACTCCATAGGAAATGTACTACAAACTGTAAAATATAAAACATCTTATTTCTGTAAACTCAAACATAAAGCAGACTGCAGGGGCATATACATTTTCTTCAAACACACACATCAAACATAGATAAATGCATAATAGGTGTTACTTGGATTGTGTCATAGGTCTTTTAATCTATAAATACACGGTAGAAAACGGCTGTACAGGCTGAAGAATAAACAGTTTGAGAGAAGTCTAGAAATAGTATCCAGTCATATGATGACTAAGGACTACAGAATAATGTGTGCATCAACAGGTACTTGTTCAAGACATCCATCCATATATATCCACCACAGAGTCCTCCATGTATTCAGGGTGGTGCTCTCACTTGGCTTGGAGTTCATACGTGCATACACACACATTCACACACACACAGACACAAACACACACTCCCTCAGCGTCTGGACAGGTCGCCTCCTGTGAAGAAGAGGAACAGTGAGACGGATGATCTCATAACTGCACTGTTGTTTCCTGTAATAACTTGACATGCATCAAAAATAAACCTGATTCCACTGCAGAGTAAAAGATGTAGTTTCAGTATCACATTTATAAAAATTTAAATCTATGGGTTGAAAATCTCATGATGTCGCCTTGTGTTTCGAAATGTCTTGGACCTGCTTAGGTAGTTATATATATTTAAAAAGGTAAACACACTTAAATCATTGGTGGGAGAACCCTCGCCACAAGCCACTGCTCGTGAGTTTGAAAAGCTTTTTCAAATATGAAAAAAACCTTAACCGTCACATCCTCTACCATTCAGAGACGTCCCCCAACGTCTCCTGCCCCCAGCGTCTGTCCCCATCAGCGGTTCAAACCCCACTGGACTACGCTGCTCCTCAGACACGGTTTAGCCCTGGCTGACTTGGCACCAGCCACCTGTGCCGAAGGTTGCAACAGTTCGGGACGACCATGGTCTTGGAAACTCTGGAGGGGAGAAACCCTCTACTTCATTTGACATTTCTGTCACAAACGTGTTTGTGTGCTGCTTTGTCCTAGACAACCAATATAACTTTGCTTTAGCAAGCTAATTGATATGTCTAAGGCGTGTGCGAGTGTGTGTTTACAGTAAGCAGACGTGTCTTTGCCCTGCCCTCCAGCAGTGCGTTCGTTGACAGCAAACATACGGCTAATTACTAGAAATTCATTTGAAATACGTGCAGGAAGTGTAAACAACACAATTTTAAGAGCAGATGAGAAACGTATCCATGTGCGTCCTCTCCTGGCTTGTGTCTGTCTGAGTGAGGCAGAGCGAGAAGCATCAGTTGAGACATTAGAAAACTTAGTAGTAGTGGCAGTTAATATGTGTAAGCGTGTGCGAGCCCACAGCCACATGCCAGTCCAGATTGATCGCTGTAACAATCTAATCTGTCAGACGTGATGTCCACGGAAGTGTAGCACTGGGAGGGGAATATGAGCTGGAGGGGGGGGGGGACCCTGTGTCATATGTGGCTACATCCAATTAACTAACGCAATCAGCCATGTTGAAGAATGGATTAGCACGTAATTGCCTCAAAGGTGGGAACCTCCATTGAATTATTCATAGTGGGCAAATGTATGTTTAGAGTGTGTCAATCTGTGGAAATGAACGTGTATGTATGTGTGTGACAGTCTAGCACTAATGGAAAGTGACTGTAAATGTATATGTGGAGAGAATAACATCAAGTGGCGATGATGGAGGCTTACTGCATTGTACAGGCCTATGTGGTCCACATTATAAGGGGTTGAAGACAAGTCATGTTGATGATCTATTTTAATTGAAGTTGTTGTTGAGAAAACAACACAAACCAGGCTGTGCACCATTTAAAACACATCATTAGAGTAAAGACAACATGGATCATATATAGTGCATCTAAAGACCAAAACAAGTTCTTGTGTGAAAGAATTGCATATTATGCCACAACTGCAGCTGAACCTATGAGGTCACACAGTCTGCGTGGACGGTGAAAACCTTATGGACCTCAGCGCAAGCAAGCGAGCAAGAATGCGGCACAGTCTAGATAATTAATGGGAAACATCGGAACATGTATTTCAGGACTTCATGAAATACAGATGAGCCCTTAGCATGTTCTCATCTTTTTTAATGTGTTAGAACGCAGATTGATTTGTTGCGTTACCTGTATGAGTGCTGACTGTTTTCTACCAACCAAAGGGATAACTGCAGTGAGAAACATGTGCATGTATAGAGCTGAACCACTGCCACACTTTGAGTTGTCTGTTTTTGGCACCAGCTCCTCATTCTTCATGCTCACGTTGAAATGTTTTCCAAATACGTCACGCATGAAGGGGACGGATGATGATAGAGGCCAATCAGTGCAGCCATCTATCCTCCTGTCAGTCCTCCTGTTGTTGTTTGTGAATAGAACATTTGAATGCCTTTGCAGTGTTCCGAATGATATGCACTGTTCAAATAAATGAAGGGAACACCTAATGGTCACAGTTTAACACCAATCAGTTAAACTGATTTCAATCTGTCCATTTAGGAATCACAAGTGATAATGAATCAGTTTCACCTGCGTTGGTGCGAAGAGGTGCAATGGAGGGGAAAAATCAAGACAACCCCCAAAAAGGAAATGGTTTTACATGTGGTGGCCACAGACAGCTGCTCTCTCTTTATCCTTCCTGACTGAATCTTCTCTAGTTTTGTGTTCTGCTCGCTGCAGCCCAATCAGGCTGCACAAGGAGTCCAGCTCTTCCAGGACGTATAATGCTGCAGTTCATGGTTATATGTTGCATATATTTGAAAATCAAAGTACTACTTCTTTTATGATCAACAAAACCTAGAGAAACAAAGTTTGCCGGATGAACATTGAATGGATCATGTTTGCTGGTTCCATTGATGTGAGGCCTTGGTGTTTGCAGCAGGTTTCTGTATGTGTGAGTTGGCTTTTCTTACAGGATGTTCTCTTTTATATTCAGACATGAAACCATATGAGAAAAGTTATATTTCTTTATCTGATCTTCTAAATTACACTGATTTACACTGATCCATTGGTATTTACCTGCCTGTCTGTCGGCTGGGACCCTGTATGTAAACATGAGCCACGCGCTAATGTTTTTACATATATTTAAATGCTCGGCTCACACTCTGACAAAGCAGGTGTACAAGCAAATCCATCTGGCTTCGCTCATTACTCCCCACCTTGACAGCTGGTGCACTCGCAGCTGTGTATGACAGGCAGGACGACCGGCTCGCTCTCGCCGTTCTCACACTGCAGGCTGAGGAAACGGACCGGGTTGTCTGGATCCAGGCGGTAGCTGCAGCACTCACACACCGACTGGAGGTACGGCTCCTGGGTGGAGAGAGGGAGGAGAAGAGGGGATGGAATTACTGGAGAAGATGAGAGCGGCAAGGGGAGTAGAGGAGGTGGAAAGAGAAGCTGAGGGATAAGGTGGAGGAAAGCAATTAGGAGATTGGGAGATGATGGGGAGAGGGTGGAATTAGAGCAGGAAGAGGTTATGAGACAGAAGAGTTGAGACAATATGAGTAATACTGAGGAGAAGGACAATACAAGGGAGGAGTAATATATCTTCACTCACATCAGTTACAGGAAAACATACACATTCCAAGTGGTGCATCACATGACAGTGGATTTGTGCAAGTTGTGAATCCAAAACAATAACCTATTGCTAAAAAAATATAAAATTACTGAAATGCAATACAAGGACAAATTTGGTAAAGAATGGGGCAATGATTTCACATTTCTTTGTAACTCTTGAAAGCCACAAAACCCAGTCTTGATGCTTTGCGTGATAGAGGGCGGCTCGGAGATGGAAACTGAGCCCATGTGTTCAATTAGTGCAGGAAAAGACCCGAGGAGGAGGGAGAGTGCAGAGAGTATAATACATGATGGCAAAGAATGATAGATAATAGGAGGAGAAGGAGGTGAGGGGAAGAAGAGAGTCTGACATCAAACACCTTCAACTTCACTGAGAAATAGCAGTTATTAGTGCTTCACACATTTTGAAGTCCACAGTGCGAGTGTGGGTGTGTGTGTGTGTGAGCCGGTGGTGAAAAGAGCCTGTGGTTCCTCTGAGTGCGTGCCCGCTCTCTCCAGTCCTGCTGATCAATGAAAAGGGAACTTCTCCGTGCTGCCTAGTCACCGGTTACCATCCCTGGTTGCCACAGTAACAGAAAGTAATGACACATTTGGCTGAGCTGATGTTTATTTTTACTAATCTCCCGGCGTGATTGACTCTATTTTTACAGTGGAGATGTATGGATGCCAAACAGGAACAAAGTCGCCATGGTGATGAGGTGATGAGCTCGCCGTCTCACGAGGATGAACAAGGCAACGAGCGAAGGTAGGAAAAGAATAAAGGAGCCAGAATCGGTAACAGGCTCCACACGTGACCCCTTCACAACACTCCTATTCAAAACATCTATATTTAGATCAGTGGTGACTCAACTACTGAGTTTTGTTTTGCTGTTTACCTGTTTCCATGTCGTCTATGTGAACATGACGACAGGTTACCTTCTGTCAACTGTGATAACAGCTGCGAACAGAAGGGAAAATGATCAAATAATCATTTCCCCACGTTCACAGCCTCTTACCTGTATCCTGAGAGCGTGTCGACGGTCTGTGTTTATCCCGAGAGGTGTGAGATTACAGCATGTGTGCCCGTGCTGCATGGGGCCGAGGGTTTGACACTCTCAACGCTAATGTCAGGTCACGTTTCAGGAGCAAAACAGATGGGAAATTTGGCTGCACATTTACAGCCAAAGCAACAACACTGTTTTTTTTTTGAACCGCTTGATAATAAAAGTTACGGGCAATATGGCCCAAGAAAAAAATGTAAACCAGGTAGGAAGAATGCAAAGTTTTCTAACTTCACACTGCATTATAGACCGTTTATAAAAGTTTGGCACACAAACAATAAAACAAAGTGATGGCATATTGTAGAGGACTCACTAATGACTCTGAAGAAGCTCCACAAGGCAAAGCAAGCAGCCCATTCCAAAGAGGCAGGTTTACAATGGGCACTGCACTAGTGTTGGAAATGTAAATCCAAAATACAGTACTTTTTAAATGAGTATTGCAGAAATTCCTAACTGTAGAAAGTGCACCGATTAAACACAATTAACCGTACTGCCCTGAAGGGTAGCTTGAAAGCAATTAACAACCAACTGCTTTTTTTCAACCAATTCATTTTTGCGGGCCTATATTGATCACCAGTGTGCAGCCAGCTGATGTCGATGTCAATACTGGTCAGTGTCGCCACAAAATGATGGAAGAGTAATATCCTCTCCCTCTCTCTCTCTCTCTCTCTCTCTGTGTATGTGTGTGTGTAGGTGTCTACTCTCCGTACCTCCAGGATTACGTCAGTCCTGGACAGACAGCGTCCCCTGCAGAAGCTGACCTCCACGTTGTCAAGCCGACAGCCCCCCTTGGTGATGTTCCTGACCTGCATGTAGCGGCGACACTCTGGCAGGGGCTCGCCTGAAGGAACCACAGAAACACAGGGGAGGAGGAGGAGGGGGAGGAGGGGGAGGAGGGGTTAACATGAGATTGAAGGACGAAGCAGAGGGAGGATAAAGAGGGCAGGGAAAAGGTGAATAATGAAAGAAAAACGGGACGAATTTTTCTTTCTATTTGCATGAGAAAGTAGGAGGGAAAAAAAAAGACAAAGGAGCCGGAGTCCTTTCAGAGAGCACGGCGACATTGTCGTGCCCCCTCGCAGCATGTGACATTTCCTCCACTGGGAGATAGATTAAAGCCCCAATGTAGGTTAAGTAATGTCATCTCTCACTAATTGGCCACTGTGGCAATTGGTTTTTAGCCTCACTATAAAATGAACTATGGAACATTCAAATCCAATGAAGTGGAACAGCAGCCACAGAATGAAAATGTAGATTTTGACTGTTCCTAATTATATGTTTGTTATCAAGAGTCATTTATCTGATACATAAGGATGCTGTCAGGTGGATTATTTCATTTGTTGAAACTAATGGCTTCATTTACAGAGCATTTCTTCATGAATTTCTCTTTGTAATACCATAAAAATATATTTCATTTCTGAACACTGTCTGAGTGTGTGGTTTTTCTTTCTGTGTCTCTGCATGTTGCACTAACCTGGAAACTGTTTTCTACAGACCGGACAGCAGCTGCCTGGTTCCTCCACCTTGACCTCCCCCTGAGAGAGAGATGATTTTTCTTTTTAATATAATTTAGAAAATGAGAACAGACAAGTGATTCATTCAACAAATGATGGGAAAAAAAAAGAATCGGCTGCACACTAACAGTACATGTATTAAAGCACACACACATCAAGGTGACTAACACGCACGTCCAACACGCACACTCCACCCTCAGGGACTGCAACAGCAAAAAACATTGTACCATTTGTAAATATGCCTTATTCTATTTTCTACAATTCTACACATATCTTGATTGGAGAGAGAAGCCTCCCATAGTTTCATTGTACCTGAGTATGACAATTAAGATCTTAAAATCTTTTAATCTTCAAATGTGACGTAAGCACACACAGCATATATACTGGGCGAGGAGTTAAAAAAACAGCCCATCCAGGTTAGCCAGAGCCATAATAACATACCCAATGCATCCGTTACAATAAAGAAAATACACAGTACAAGTAATCATTAATAACATTAATATTAAGCAGAGAGAGACAAACTTTACACAGACAAAGGAGAAATTGTCAATATCTTCGCAGAGTGAGGAAGCATAAGGAAAGTTAAGATTATAAATATTACCACATGCCCCAACAAAACTCTATAAAGGATGAAACTGGTGAATTATAATATGCGTTGGAAGTGTTAAACCCCATTTAATGTGGGAATGTTTTCTCACTGTGGGATCTTACTAAAGTGACTTGAGATAACGTATGTTGTTATTTGGTGCTACACAAATAAAATTGGATTGAACTGAAAAAAGTGCATTTGTAATATACCATTCTGGACTAAAGCTGTGGACTTCCTGTATCTTTACAAGGGGGATAGAGATCTCAAACACAGAATGTACCCAACATTCTGATGAGTTATTATGGTGGGTTTGTTCACAGTCTGCAGAATCATCTTGAGACATTGAAAAACTGCTGTATCTCGTGACCTGGATAAATCTCTGAGTCTATGCTGAACAGATTGATGATGTGACGAACCCTTGGGAGCTTTTTTGGACATTTACAGTATTTGATGACAAAATAAATCCACAAAATGATTAAAAGCACAAAGCCACCTGTTATCACATGACCTAACCCTAAACTCAAATCATGTGATGATAACAGAGCTTCATCTGCTAACAAAAACTAATGTGATGTGGTTGAACATTCCTAAAAAACTAGTACAAGAACCTGAAATGAAGATATTTTATTATTTTTTAACTATATCACCAACGTTTTTAATGATTATCTCAGTCTGCATTACTGAGAGCCCTGCTGGTTTTCGTTCTGGACAATTCAGGACTGATCTTGACCTGCGAGGCGATGATCAGGACCAGGGTTGAGACCCAGAGTATCCTGGAGCTATTCTTATTACAGAACAAGTGACAGTGTGAGCGTGATGAAAAAAATGACCGGAGGGGAACAAATGAATGTCAGAAATACAGGCTGCCACACAGAGAGACCCAATCAAACAGATGAGTAGAGGCACAGAAATAAAAAGGCAAAAATTGAAAAGCAAAAATAGCAAAATAAAAGACAGCGAGTGATGTAAGGACTCACAGGAGGTGCACAGAAAGAGTGAAGCAGCAGAAGAAGAGAGTTCCAGAGAGAAGCTGAGTGTCCTGTGGTGTCCCTGTCTGAGAATAGCTGCGGTTAGGATGCAGAGTCACACACACAGTCTGACAGCAGTCTTCAGAGCGCTTACCAACACCATCCTCAGCTCACCCCCTCAAACTTCCCCCAACCACACCATCTCTCTAACACACACACTCACACTCACACACTCGCAGCTCCTAACTGTTAACCCGGAGGACTTCTCAGGTCCAATCTGCTTTGCCCGCTGGTCTTCCCTCAGGGACGGAGCAGCCCACTCACTTAAAGGCTGGCAGGTCACAAAGACGACCATTTTGAGTCTTTTCAGTTAAAAGCTTATGTGTGTGAGTGTGTGTGTTTGATGTGACAGGAGGTCAGTGGTGAGAAATGTGGATGCTGCTTATTTCACGAAAAGGACACTTGGCATTTTAAGTAAAAGGTTAGTGAGATTTGTGTCATCTAGCTGTGGAAATCAGAAGTGTTCATGTGGACTCGGGGAAACATCCTGATCAGTTTTTATCACCAGAAATGATGATAACATTTTTTTTTAAAACTGTGCTCACAGCGGAGCAGTGCGGCCGGAGATTTCAATTTTTAATCAGCAACGCCATTAACTGTAAGCTGAGTCATAAATAAAAAGTCGGCACTGACACAAACCAATCCTCGGCCGCAGCACAGTGCACTAAATTACCTTTTCATTCTGGCTGGGATGAGGTGCTGCTTTCACGAAGGCATAACTTAGCGCAGCCGGGGGATTTGAGAATGGGGACACAAATAGTTGAGCGAGTCAATGATGCGACAGATAAAAAGCTGTGCACACTACAGGTGGAACACTTGGTAGACTGTTGTACTTTGTGGAGCTCACAGAGCAATTAACCTCTCCCTTCAGTTCTGGATGTCAGCAGAATTTATTTTTACCCTGGCCTTTAAACAGCGCCGTTGTGCTAAAGATATCAACTCCGCACGCTGTGTCGAGAATGAAACTGTGGACTTTTCTGTTACTTTCTCCTTTTCCTTCACCACAGAGAGCTGCTTTTCATCAATTAAGCCTTTCCTGATATTTTCAGCCCTAACTGTTTGTTGGTGTGTGTGCTTGTGAGCAAGATTAAAATCAAAAACAGAACAGGTTCTCATGAAACTTGGTGGAGGGATGTCGTATGGCTCAGGGAAGAACCCATCAAAGTTTGGTGCAGATTTAAAACAGGAAGCCAATCAAAAAAATGTTTCACTTAATCTAACACTGTATCTAAATTTTTCTTTCTTTACATTTTCACTGTTTTTCTTAAATAAGAAAAACTCATTTAGAGGACTCATATCGATGAACGTGGGACATTTGGTGCAGCTTGATTAAAATATTGAGCCTTGCAGCAGGTATGTGCAATTATATTTAGCAAATATCTATTTTGTAAGGTTTATTCACCAAAATTGCACAAAATGTTTCGCATGAAGCTTGTTTTTTTTCTGTTTACCCAGGTTTTGAGATGAGAGAATGAATGAGTGAAGAAAAAAACTAAATCTGAAATATGATTTTTTTCTTGTCCTTGAGAGAAGTAGATTTTCATGTGCCTGGCAGATCTGGTTTAATTGAGTGATATACTGTATCTCAACAGCCATGCCATGGATTACCATGAAACTATGTATGAACTCAATCATGTCTTTGGTCATCCTCTTCCCTATGTGCAGCTATTACAATGTCATTTTTATTTTTGTTCAGTACCTGAATTCATCACCTAAACTTAAGACTTGTGATTTTTGCACTATTTAGCAAATAGAGCATGCTAACATGCTTAACTAGTCACTACCACAGACTATATTTCAAGATGGAAGACATGAAAGATCCTCAAAAGTTAAACCAAGCTTCTTAAAAAACTTACTTTGCTTTACTGGTATTGAGCCATAAAGTTCAGTTTAGTTTTATCTTCCCAAGGTTCGAGATATTCATCTGTGAAGTTTTTCTGTTTCTACCTGACACACCACAGTGTTTATAACTTTCATTACTAAAGACACGGTGTCTGGACAGTTTGATCTGTTGAATATGCAGAGAAACAGAGAAACTGTTTTCGGAGAGGCTGTTGCTGTTGATTTCCCTAGATGTGATCTTTGTCTAAGCTGTGAACATCTCACATCAATTTACATTTACGGTTATTGTGATGAGATGAGATGTATTTGCATGGCTGGAGCCTATGTGAGCAGTAAGATATGGTGTAGACTTGGAACAAGGAGAGAGTGAGGGAGAAGCATAAAAACAACGTAATGGCCCCAAAATGTTTCACAAAACAGTCTTAAGCAGATCCTGCTCTAAATCTGTCTGAAGCAGGACTGGATATAAGTATAGTATTTCACAGGACCAAAAGTTCCACTGTGGAATGGACTTCAAAAATGTATTCATATTTTATATGAGTTTATTTTTGTCCTCATCTGCCTCTAGTCGTTCAAGTGCATCCATAATTGACCGCTCAGCTCGGCGTCTCCTCTGAGATCACCAAGTGTTAACCACACATACACGTATGACCAAGCAATGTCCTTGTGACAAAGGCAAAGTCAGTTTCACATATGCCTGACATAACCATTACACACAATATCACATGTTTAATATTTAAAAAACTGCACAGCATTCCATACTTGATATATAATATTCTTAAAAGTGTCTCAAAACTTCAGCAGTTCACAAAACTGAGCTGCGGCCGACGCCATGAATTTAGCAGAACACGTTCGACCTTTGTCAAAGGGTGAATATACTGCATCCACATGAAACTGAGTAATGTCAGGAGTGAGTGTTTCGCGGGAGGAAGAAGGGCCCGTTAACGGAGAGAGTGGAGGCTCGTGGGAGGATGGGACAGTCAGGTATTGATCTACTTCAGCCAGCGACTTGCAGAGAACATCCCACACATTCTTGAGGGAGCAGAGCATTTTCTTCCCTTGCTCGGAGTAATTGAGATGTTTAGTAACCGCCAGAGATGCCGTATGAAGTGTACCACCCTGAGGAAGCAGCAGGAGTCGAATAGACAGATGTCTGGGACTATATCCTCAATATGAGAGTCTTGAGAACAATTTAATCTGCTAGATAGAGAGATTCAGTTTAATTTAGAAGCTCCTCCTACAGTAAATGACTACATCAGGTAACAGATGTGGTGCATTACATTTCCTTCATCCAGGAAAATACCTGAATTTTCCAGGCATTTAGACATTCCCATTCAGTGAATCAATAATGAAGAGTTTTGTGCTGTTGCAGAAAAAAACATCCAAATATATATATTACATTCAGCAGAATAAAAGGCCTTATTCTGTAATTTTGCCAACAATATCTTTGAATGTATCTTGATTGTGTTATTCTCGTTCAGATGAACACATGCATAGAGAATAAGCACTCAGACAGATGTCGATTTGATGTGGAGAGTTAGCGTGTCTCACCTCATCACAGTGGAGTGGAGGACACCTCAGCTGGCACTGCTTCTTCCCATTCACACATCGACAGGACGTGCAGCCCTCCTCCCACTCTGATCCTGCCTGGCTCACACACACACACACATGGACACACACACACACACACACATCATATTTATATTCACCTCCCAGACTCTTGAAATGCAGGTACTATAATTATTCCTCAACAGCCCATCACTCTTTCCTTCAGGCGTATTCACATTACCGTCTGTGTCAGAGCAGGTTTGATGAAGTAAAACCGGTCATAGCTCAGGATCTACTTCTTCAGTGAATCCACTAGAGCTCTGGCTGCACTGTTGTGCATAATTTAGGTTATGGAGGCACGTTAGCATGCAGTAATTACAACAACACATAATACAGAGGGCATCGTAAATTTTGCGTGTTACAGCTGTGGGAATTGGCGACAGTGCTTTTACCCGCGCTAAAGCGCCCACAGTTCAGTCTTTGCTGCTCACACTGAAGCATTTGGCATAACAATCCTGAGGTGGTTGATTAGAAAACCATAGAGGGTCTTTATGTAGACATTAGTCATCTCAAGGTGACGGATACAGAGAGAAACAGAGAGGTTGGGCGGACAGAATGACTGAAAGGCAGGGGTTGACAAAGGGGAGAGAGAACGAGGGAGAGAGAGAGAGGAAAGGATAAATGGTATGAAAGAGAGTGAAAAAAATCCTGTGAGGGAAGCAGAAGAGGAAAGGTGAGTAAGTCAGCGAAGGTACGAGGGGGGGAGAAAAGAAAAACAAGGAGAACAATACGAGAGTGAGAGAAAGTCCTGGAGAAGGACGATCAAGAGGAGGGACCTGACCCTCTTGTCAGGGTATGATTAATTCTTATAATCCTATAATATCCCCACCTTCATAAATAATTCCTGGCAGGCTTGCCCAGAGTGCTGGCTTTCTACGGTACTTGCTACATAATTGATGAAGCTGAGGGCTGCAGAGGCATTGTGGTGTAATGTGGCCCACAGGGCATGTCACTCATCTTCTAATAAGGCCATTCTTTATGAGTAAATAACACAATGGGAGTGAATGGTAGTGAATAAAAACAGTGCATTAATGGTCAGGTTCAGACACACGCCATAATGAGGCAGGCGGGGTGGAGACGAGCTGCCAAGATTGCGGGGCAGCAGATGCCTGGATACTTGGGTGTAAGCCAGTGAGTGTGTGTGTGTGTGTGTGTGTGTGTGTGTGTGTGTGTGTGTGTGTACCTCTCGCAGGATGCCCTGGTCATGGCAGGGGCAGAGGGCCGGGATGACACACACACCCTCCGTGTTCCGGTAAAGTCCCTCCTGACACACGCAGCCCTCAGCGGAGTGACTGCAGTTGACAGGAGAGGAGGAGTAAATGTCCTGGCAGCTCCTCTCGCAGAGCAGGACCTCCTCTGACACGCTCCTCCTTCTCCACTGCTCCCCGTCAGGACAAGCTGCAGAGGGCAAGGAGGGCGAGGAGGAGGAGAGCGACAGGAGTGAGATGAGTTTTAAAAAAGGTGCCAGAGAGGAGAAAATAGAGAGAGGAGGCGAGATGAGAGGATGGAAAAAAGGAACAGAATTTAATCAAGAGAAGTAAAAGAGAAGTGGGAATCAAACGAGGGTGTGGACAGAAAATTTGAATATAAGAATGTATAGAATTACTCATTGTTGCTTAAGTTAAAGAAACAAACTTTATAGCCATAGTGATTGCCGGCAAAATTAACTGGGGTGGATGAGCAGGGGCAAAAATACGGAGCGAAACAAGGTTGAATTAATATGATTTATGAATGTAACATTATTGTATGAGATGCTTCTTCTATCATCGTTAATGACTGATAAAAAATGATCTGTCTTCAGCATCTGAAAGGATCCAGCCAGAAAAGGTTTGGGGCTAATGTTAGCAGCTTCGACTTCGCTCTGCACAGAATTTGGATGAGTTGACACTCACAGTTACTCATATCTAAAATGTTGAGCTTAGAATGAAACAGCCTCAAAATGGTTTGTTATTAGTTGCCCCAAACTGCAACACAAGAGCAACATTCTCACTTTTGTCCGTGTCTTCTACATGATTTGTAAAGTAAAGATGTTTTCATACCCTTCCTAAAAGTAAACATATTATGCTCACACATAGGTTCATATTTTTGAATTTGGGTTATTGTTTGCATGCTCTGTTCAGAAAATAAATGTTTTCATGCTATCCATTGCTGCAGCTCCTCTTTTCAGCCTCTTTCTGAAACACTTGGTTTGAAGCTGCTGTCTTTTAAAGGCCCCCCTCTCGATAAAGCCCATGAGTGCATTATACACATGTAGGGCATTGTGACGTGACGTGATATCACAATGATGCAGAAGTATCGGCAGGACTACTGACAAGGTGTTTAAGAAATTCCAGCAGCATTGTTCTCTGTGGAGGAGTTCCCTTTGGGGAATTTGGGCTTTTTAACTTTGCAGAACTTTTATCTACACAAAAGAAGAATATTTCATCTTTAAAAAATGTTAAGGAAAAGTCGACAGTATCGACGGGGGGCAGAACTGAGCTGGTGTCATTCATTTAAACCATGTCTCGTCTCCCCTCTCATCACTCACCACAGTCAGGGGCCATGCAGCTCCTGGTGCGATGGTCAGGGCCCTCACACGGGGCCCCTCCATATTGACTGGGCTGCAGGACGGTTCTATTGGAGCTCTGCTGGCCTGAACCACAGCTGGCTGAGCACAGACTCCACTGGGACCAGCTGGACCACACACAGTCCACTGAAGGGGGAGGAGAGGACATGAAGCAGCACATTCAGGCCAGTTTTACTTTCACTTCTATCCATTTAAGCAGCATATTGAATTAACCTGATAATGTTACATTACAAAAACAATGCATTCATTTATATCAAGCTGTTCTCTAACTACAGCATCCTGTGGAGGTGATCCTGAAATACACAATGTGGCAAAAACAATAGTGAAGAAATAAAAAATAAATGAGACATTGCTTCACAAATGTCAGCACTGCTCTATACAACAGCCACAGGGGACTACTTTCTGTGTTCAGAGAATTTTGGTTTAATGAGTGTTTTAGCAATCTTCTATTCATTATTTGTAATATCTTTTACACATTTGTCAGTTCATGAATTGTAATTACCGAGTGTGTTGTCACTTTCAAAACATGATTCTGTAAATTGGAGTTCTGCTGAAAGCTGCAGGAGGCGTAAACAACCAGGGCCTTTTCCTACACTATGTACAAAGCGGCTCCAAGCGCACTGCAGTTGTCTTTGCTAGTTTCTGAGACTTTTGTCATTCTAAATAGCAAATCCACTCCTGCACTGCTATCTTCGAGAGATGATTCACCAAGAAAAATCTGGACTGAATGTTATTTGGCACATTACCAGGTAGTATGCACCTACGTAGGTGGGCGCGCAACACATTTACACTGCTCGGGTGCTTTCCCAGCACACATGCAGATCTGTTTCCTCTGCAGAGGGAAGTGTTCCTTCTGACTTCCTGGCAAATCCACCTATATCGGTAGCAATCCCCCACAGTGCACCTAGCTTTTAAATGTTTAAATTGGTTTAATGCATATGATACACCTATGATTCATTAAGATTCTAAGCAACCTTTTAAACCATATGATATTTTCTTTCCATTGTGAAACTGGAAGAAGTAGATTTTGAAATCCTGTGCCATGTGCTTCACACCAAGAGATTGTTAAAATAGAGTCTGTGTGTCTCCACTGTGGAGGTGCTGAGTAAAATGTTATTATGGTCAACAGTTATGATCACTGAACTCTTTCCTCTCCTGCTGCAGCAGCTGTTACCAACCATAGATCAGGTTCACATGTCTGACATTGTCCTGACAGTTCGACCAAAGATTATTGTAGCTGCTTCTTTCGTTGCTTGAAAGAGCGAGGCCCTGTAAAGTGAGTGAAATGCAGCTGGGGCAGAGCATCACTCACCATCACAGCTCTCTGAGGTGCAGTTGAACGCTCCTCCTTGGCACACGCTGGAGAAAGTTGGTGAAAAACAAGAGATGAGGTGAGTGAAGGCAAAAAGAGATCTTATTATGTTACCGAACACTGAGACGCAGAGACTATCATACCATATTAATCAGAGTATCAAAACACTGGGGAAGATGAAATGACTTACGAGATGTCTGCTGCATCGCAGACTATCTATTACAGATATCATGGTATCTAACTGGAATGTTGGTGAGTGTAAACTACGACATTTAACTCCGCTGGTGGTGCACAACACTTTTAAAAATTAACTCAAATCAAAGGTGATTCCCGTAGCATTTTTAATTTCAAAAATCTTTGAGTATTCATCATAACTAAATCAAGGTTGATCAACCCGATTTGACTGTTCAGGTCAAACATAATGCATTATTGTATGACGGCATATTAGGGCCATTCAAAGAGAAAAAAATCAGAGTAAAGTTTTAACATAATGAGGAAATAGTTGTAATTTTAAAAGAATGAAGTCGTCATTTAAGGCTATGTCAACTTTTAGAGCTGAGTATTAGATCAGCCTGTCGCCTGCATTAAAATGAGGGATGTGGAGCATCTTGTTAAGTTATACTTCAATAAAAGTTTCACAAATATTTCTCTTAATATTATGACTTTTTTTTCTCATTCATTTCTGACTTTCTACTGTGAACATTATGAATTCCTTCACATTTCCAACTTTTTTTCTTCATATTACAACTTTTCTCATTAAATTAAGTATTATTATGACTTTATTCTTGATATATTACATCTTTACTCTCATATATACAGTATTATGACCTTCTACTCAAATCTGACTTCCTTATAATAATATCATTTTTTTTCCATTAAATTCCAAATTTATTCTTGCAATATTTTTACTTTACTTTTTTCTCCAACTTTATCATCATATTATTTTTTCTTTCCAAAATGTTGCTTGTGGGAAATTAGAGTCTGCGCATCTTAACAGAATTATTAACATTATTGTGAGTGATCTGTGTGTTTAATCAATTAGGCATGTGTCATACTCTCTCATACTTCTCATTCATAAAAATAACATAAATGGGTTTATAATAATAATAGTACAGTACAAAAGATAGAAGGATCAAAGAAATAATACAAGAAATACAATCATATAAAAACTCAGAGCAAAGATTCAAACAAAGAGACAAAAAGAAAACACTACATTTCTCATGACTCATCAAAATGTGTTGTTTTTAAGCAGTTGCATGTGGTAGAGGTCTAAGTGATCAATGCAGGAGAGACTGCTCTCACTGCAAACCAGAATCTGCATTTCAATACATAACTAAAAAATGATTCATTCTGCAAATTACTGTCTGCTTCATGTGGACAGTCAATCTACTTTCTATAATGGAATCTGGCGCCTGGGAGGTCAGTCAGACTGATGAAGAAGCACAGCCACTGTTCAAATGTCCCAGGATGTTCAGCACAAGGGGATGAATGAATACGCACATTAATATGCAGGAAAGGACAAACGTCAGAGGAAATAAAAAACGGAGGCACATCTGAGATAAAAAAGACTTTGAACTTCCCCACTATAAAACGTTCCGGAAGATTTGAAGTTTACTGACCGCAAACCATCCATAACCATCACTCTAATATTATTTTTACTTTGCACTCATCTAGTCATCCTGCCAGTAGATATTTATGAAGCAGAGTTTAATTTCTGTTTCTTTCCCCACCTCAACCTTTGCTTTCATATATAACCTACAGATCCAACATATAGAACCTCAGTAAATCCAGAAGAGCACATGGTCAACCATGCTTATTGTGCACCCTCCTGTTCCTTGTGCTCTCCCTTCTTAAATGCATGAAGGATTAGAGGAATAATCCTGGAATCAATTACTGTGCTTCAATTCAGAGGCTGCACTAAACATAAATAAAACATTTCCTCATACGACAGGCTCCTCGGAAAGGAACCAAGAAACGCAGCATTCTGAAATGTGAATCCTCAGAGCACCACAGTGTAACGCACACCTCGGTATTACACAATCTCACATGTAGCCTTTAGCTGATTTCCTCAAATCATTAAGTAGAGACATAGAGTGTGGCTGTGTCATATTTACAGACTGTACTTTGATCAGCGCCCACTTAAAGGAAAAAAGGTCATAGACTTTAAAAATCGATGAAAGCCACTGAAATGTGAAGCATGGTGGTCTCCGTGACGAGATCTTTAGAGGAGGTTAAGGTTCAGCCTCACCTCTTAGGAACCTCACTCATGGATAAAATCCATGATCCAGCCTCTGGGCTGTGACAGTCCCAGCTGGATCCAGATCGTATGTGTGAAGGACAGTGTGGGTGCTCACAGCCGTGTTGCGGATGAAATTGTGTGTGGTGTATTACCATGTATTGCAGAGGTGCTGAATGGCTGTTCCAGGTGGCAGCAGAGCGTCCGAGATCTCCGCGGTGCTGACATTCAAGCTTTGGTAACCAGTTGGCAGGGAGAGCGCTGAACAGGGACAGTCAGCGTGGGACACACATGAGCCACCGAGCAACACCTATGAGGGACGAAGTAGCACTGTTCAGAATCTGAGCTGCTATCCAACCACACAAGGACAAACTGATTCTTGTACTATCTTAGTGACAGTAAGCTTTTACCTAAACCTTAACCATCCAAACTAAATTTATAAAACTAACCCTCAAACAGCCTGAAATAAAAGTGGCCAAAATGTTCTCACTCAATAAGGTCTGTGCTCAAATGGTACTGACTAAGCGCACACACACATTCACAGCCCCTTACCCTAATCTTAACCATCACAACTACTACAACGACTTACCCTAACCTTAAAAAAATCAGTCATTTGTATCTTAACATGCTGTACACGTCATCATAAATTCAATGCAATACAAATGACAAAGTGCGGTCCCACAGGCAGCGAGTCTGCTGCTGCTCTGCAGCGGATCTCCTTGGTGAGGGGAGCCGGAATGAATCCCACAGGTTCGTTGTGGACAGCCGAACCGAAACCTTAAGCTCTAACTTTAATCATAAGCAATTTATGCCTTACCATAATCTTAATCTAACTCTCACCTTAAAAAATTTATTAAACTTTAATATATATATTTATAAATAACTGTATTATGTTAAATATAATGATTTACATTGCAGGGACTGTCTTTTTGCCCCCACAAGGAAGACAAGTCCCCATAATATGACTGTGTAAATAGTCATGAATAATACTTGGACACACACACACACACATGCAGACAAACAGAGTCCAGACCTGTCCAGGAGGGCAGGTACACCCAGGGGTACAGGGCCCAGGTAAACACTGAGTGTGTGGCCACAGGTCCTCACAGGTATATGGACATTGACCTGAACAGTCACTGAACACCTGTCCACTGGGACACTCTGCAACACACAAATAAAACACATCATGTACAGTGTATGTCACAGACACAGTTTGTCTCGTGAAAAGATTTTCTCAGTCACATTTGAGGTCACACCTTTGACTGCGTGACACCATAAATACACTTACTGAAAATACCACCCATAAAGAATTTCACGAGTTGCTTGGCAACCACTTTAATTGAGGAGTGATATTGCTCTGTGGATAGATAATATGTAAATGTGATAAAAGTACAACTTCTAATGGTGCGATTGTGTCTTTGTTACCAGGCAGGCAGCGGTTGGTGTTACAGACAGTGTGCTGCTCGAGGGGTCCAACACAGCCCGCCCCACCCGGCTCTGGCTCTCTGAGCACCGTCTTGTTCCGCACCGACGACCCACCACCACACGTAGCGCTGCACTCACTCCAGGGTGACCACTCGCTCAACAAACAACCGACTGGACAGAGAGAGATGACGAGGATTGAATGCATAACAAGTGAAATGTGACCTTTTAACCCAATTGAATTAAATATCTGACCACTAACAAGTTATAATGTAATTTAACAATACGATGCTTTTAAGTCAGTGCTCCATATCAGACCTGGACATGACGGCAGGTCACAGCTCTCTGTCTGATTCGTGGCACCACAGGAGGGACCACCTTCTGTGTCGTGGCAGAGACGGGTTCTTGTCCTCTGGCCACGTTCACAGGAAGCTGAGCAGGAGCTCCATGTGCTCCACGGCTCATAAACCGGGCAGGGAAGCTTAGTGCACACCAGAGTGCCATTCTCACACACACTGCATACAGGACATACAGCAGATAGGAGGTGTTGGAGGGGAGAGATGAGATTAAAACTTGAGCTTAAACCTGAAGTTCTCCTATAAAAGCTTTTCACATCAGTGATCGTCTAATATCTCAGATCAATTAGAATCAACATTTTTCAAGACGCTCATTGTAATTGTCAACTTTCTCTTTCACCTAGATCTGTGTCTTACCAGGTGTTACAATCCATGGCAACTTCGTCTTTGGGGAAGTACTCCAGTGTCCCGTTGCCTGATGGGATACCACAGCGACACTGTGTGATTGGCACACAGCGACCGTCCTGCAGCAGTTGTCCCTTCGGACACCGACAACCTGAGGAAGAAGAAGGAAAAGTATTTTTAATATTTTGCAGACTGATGTAGGAGTGAAAGTTTTGTGTTTTTTTAAGAATCTGCTGTTCATGTAAGACGTCAATGATTACCTGCATGACAGGCTCCTTGGAGACACTGGACATGCTCCCATAAGTCAGTGCAACTGCGAGGGCACTGATTGGCACAGTTTTCTTGGTAGGTCCGTCCCCTGTCCTCACAACGCTCCCCTGGGAAACAAGGAAAATCCTTCTTTCACACTCCTCATAAACAAAGAGATGAGCAAACCTGTGCAAAATATGTTTTACATTTGATTGATACTCAGGAGATTGGATGAAAATTTTAATAACAGGATAGGTCTGCGAAACTAATCATTTGAACACAAATTGCTGATTGTCTTACTTTTGACTCTTTTGTGACATAAGTTTTGTGAATTTTTAAATTTTCACGAGACAAAAAAACAACAATCTCCAACGAGGATTAAACAGAAATACAAGCAACAGATGGATCTCTTTCACCAAAAGAAAAAAAATAACAGACAATTTTTGCTCTCTGGCTGAAGTAATGATATCATCATGAAGAATTGGCTGGTAGACTTCAGCTAGTATATTCATTTAAATAGTGTCTATTTAATGGTGTTTCCATTCCACCATCCTCAAATCCATTTATATATTTACAGATGCAAATAATAGCATGTTGAAACATTCAGTCCTTTTGACTCTTTTTAATTAAGCATACACATATGGAGGTCTACATGAGTTTGAAAAAAATAAAGCATAGTCGTACCCAGGCAGAGTCCTGTGTTGCAGCTCTGGCTTTGGGTCTGTTGGCTCCTGCAGCGGGGCCCCAGAGGAGAGGCCAGGGGCCGCCTGTAGCGCTGTCTGACTCCACCACTGCACGGGTCTGCACAGGCCGTCCAGGAGCTCCACGCACTCCACTGACACAGATCTGGAAGAGCAGAGTGATTATCATAACCACCCTCTACTGTCGTCGTAATTATAATGATTGTAATTATCATGATGACTGCTGTAATCGGTACGATACCCGTCGTCATCAACAATAACAGAGTGTTGTTTGTGCACAGGAACACTCGAGCTGATTAGATTTCTGATTAATACCATGCAGACTGGAGCTTAAACCATTTGTTCAGCATAAATGAAACCGTTGTTCTTCCTCGCTGAGCAGTTTTTAAATATCTGGATCCACCGTGATGAAGCACGAGACTTCAAGTGTTTGACATGCAAATCAAACTTAAGGTCCACTGGGCATGAGAGTCATTCTGAGCCATTCCCATTCATATTGAGCAGGGAGAGGCAGAGAAGAATGGAGGGCTGATAGGAGCGGGCTCAGGATGAATCACCCTTTGCACACTTGACACTAAAACCAATCAACTTCATGCGTCCCCACTGATACGCGGACATTTAACTTTTCCCTTCTTCAGATCCCTTTTTTCCATTATCACTCCTTTGGGGAATAAGGACAATAGGGCTGCAGGGAATGCACAATAACATTTTTCACAGTGGATGCTGATTGCAAGTGCTTAAACTATCAACTGATGGCTACTATTAATCTCAGTGCCTGCAGTGAACTGACACACAATAAATATCCACACAAAAACCAAGTCCGGTAGTAGACTTTTTTTAGATTTCAATTAGAGATAGGCCCGACACATTCAACAGTCATTCTATTTCTGCTCAAAATGCATCCCACACTATTTACTGTATATCTTGAGTTAAAGAGATCCAATTGTGCTGCCACTGGATAGACTGAAAAACTTGGTATGAGTTTCTGGCCCAGACATACAGAGCTGAATCTTTTTCAACCAACATTTTTCAAATCTGTTTGCTCAGAGTACAGATAAACAGCTTCAATAATGATGACACAGATCAAGTCTATGGACCCAAACAGTTTGGAACAAATGCATTTTCCACAATTCACTGGAATGAAATACATTTCTAACCTCACACAAATGTGTGTTTGTTTGCATACGGAGCGAGGACGTGAGAAGCACAAGTGGTCACTCAGGTGTGAACTGACGCACTTAGAGCCGTCCGCTTGTAATCAGATCACACATGTTAATGCCAAGTTTGAACAGTGCCACAGAAGCAGCATTACATTTTTAAACACCATGACCTTGCTGCACCTTTATTTTTTTTAATAAGAGTCATGTTCGCTCTTGATCTTCATCAGGAGATATTTACTCATACATCTATTGTTTACTCTGCTTTTCCAAATTTTCCTGATATCAATCTTGCATTTTATGTCATTCGTTGGTTCATCTCATCTTCAGCTTATCATCCTTTTATGTCTTACATGAAACACTTTTGAATTGGGTTGTCTTACACTTTCTACCTACATTTCAAAATGAAATTACCTCCCCTTCCTCTCCAGAGAGCACAGTCACTGTGACAGTCACTCTGACCCGATCTATAATTCATTTCTTTCTACGATACCATGCTTGTCTAGCTCTGACTAGTTCTCCTGCGTTGACTGCATGAAATCATTTGTTGGGAGCAAAGTGTCATATTGTTGCAACATGTGGAGGGGAAGTCGCACGGAGCCAAACTGCCAAATTCATTACTTTCCCTCGCAGTGGAGTTAGAGAGGGAACTGGAGCTTGACAAAAGCAGACTGAGGAATTGACTGCACTTCTGCCCCCGAGATAAAAGTGAACCTCCCTTTGTCCTCTCGGATAAACACCATTACCTCTGCAGATGTCAACATCTGGACAAAGCCTCTCCTCGACAAGCGGTCCTGAACACTGGCTCTCCTCCTCCTCCTCTTTGGAGACTGGGAGACCAGAATCGAGGTCCAAACACGCCCGGAAACGCCTCTGGATGGAAACAATTCTATTGCCACTGGTAACCCCAGCCTGGAAAGAGCTGTTCTGCAGGGAGGGTGAGGGCAGACAGGGAGAACAGGGAGTCCACTCTGACCACTCGCTGATGATGACTGAAGGAAGGAAAGAGGAAGAGTGACAGGATGAATGAGCTATTGGAGATCAGGCTCTTTTCATCATTATTCCAAGTTCTTACCTTCACACTCCCTCATGTCACACTGCAAAGTCCCATCGTGGCAAAGGCTGGATGAGTGGGGAGACAGATGTTAACAACACAACCAAACTCACAGAGCCCGGATAATGTAAAAGAAATACACGGAGGCGGTGAAATTGAGAGTAAACAGTGGACTGTGGAATAATCCTTTTCTATCTGTGCAATTTCAAAATCATATGGATGCAATACTGTATATACATTGTTCACATTGTACATGTTTATATTTTATATTATATTTTATACTTTTATACTACTTGTGTTTATATTATATATTTTTTATTTTCTACTCATTTATAACCTTTACTGAGAGTTTATTCCACTATTTCCTCTGTGCTGCTCTAACAGGTTAAATTTGGGGGACTAATAATCTCATCCTATTTTATCCTATCTTTTTTGTCTTTAATTATCTTATCCTATATTTACTTGTCTTTATCTTATATTATATTTACTTGTCTCATCTTATGTTATCTTCAAAACAGAAACAGCAGAGAATGGTTAAGATGCAGCACACATGCACAGACAGCAGGGTAGCCATGTCCATATATTGCATTAATCCAGTAACTGTGCAGTGCTTGGCAGAGTACATCAAAATGTCTGTTATAGAAGCTGAAAATCAAACTGCCACTGGCGTGGGAGGACAGGTGCGGACAAAATTAGCCCCTTTCATTTATTTTTAACAGCCAGGGTCTAACCAGGTACTGCAGCCGATGGTGACAGTGGCGCCCTCGGGGACAGTAACAGGTGTGGGTGGCTGTCCTGAAGCTCGGTGCTGCAGATGGACGCAGCCACATTCTTCTGGAGGGACACAGGTTCCGTTCTGCTGCAGCAGGCCCTGAATGCACATAAGAACAGAATCGCTGATAGTTCTTTGTTTTGGTTCATTTGGTTTCATATTAAAATCAGTTTGTATTTAAAGAAAACTCTTAATGATCGTACAGTATATATACCAAATATGTTGCTGCCTGTAAACACAAAACAAAAGTCCAGTTGCAAAACATATACTAACATACGTCATATATAATTTAACAGTAATCCACAGTTGAGCTATGGTTACTAGTGTGTTCTGCACCTCTGGAGATCTGTGCTCTGTTCCATATTTCATTATTCCCCCCCCTCCCTTGCCCTGACATATCATCAGTCCATCAGAGGATTTTGTAATGAATCAAAGCTGAGCTGCTGAACTTGGCCAAACAACACTGTAAAATTGTCATCACAACTCTTGCCAAAGTGACGGGGTTACAGCAATATGTAGCACACAATATTACACTTTCTAAATTCATACCAGTAGATTATTTTACCCCTCTGGTCTCGACAGACTGATATAGATAGAAACGGCTTTGATGTGACGACACACACACACACACACA